TATCCCTAGATTGGTTAAACCCTTCTTTTTTTTTTTTTTGATGTAAAAATGATCCTACGAATTACCATCACGAATTTCATTGTTTGTTAAATTACGAAAGCTTTTTGCGTATTTTTATTTTTCAAACTAATTTATGAGATTTTGTAAAAAAGTAGTAAGAATCATTCTATCGTGGAACCGGGCTGTGAAAGGGATTGCTTTCGGAAAATAAACCAAAAATAGGTTTCCCAGTTTTATTTAACAACTTACGTTTTTCTTGCTTGGAATCTAGTAAAAGGGATCTTTAAGATTCCACGTGATGTTGATTGTGAACATTGTGGAAATTGATTATAAAATGGCCGTGCTTCCCATTTCAGATGTGCGAAATCTTTTTTTTAGAAAAAATAAAAAAAAGCAAGCTCAATATTTTTTTTTTTCTTTTTTGGCGCCCAAATTACTGAACCATTTTCATTTTATTTTTTTTTAAAATAAAAATATTCACCACATGTATTAATTGTATTAATTGAAAATTTTTTATTATTTTTTATTTTCTTAAAAAGAATAAAATTGTACATACATCCTGTTGTACATAACAACATCACTCGAGTTTTAAGTTAAAATACTTTACAAACAAATTCATCAAAAAGACGCATTACGATTCGTACAATCGACCTGCAACCTACTACAAATTATATACGAAAAGGTAAAAAAGTGTAAAATTAATTTAATATTATTTGTTAGTTTACCTAATCGAAAATAATAATAATAATAAATTATAATGATAAATAAATTGGAATCTTTGGAGTTTTCTTCTTCAATAATCTTCTTTTGCTTTTTTTTTCTTTTTACTGTCTTTTCACTTTCACATTCCTTTTCACTCTTTTTCCCTTAACGATTTTTTAATCCATTTCTCGAACAACGCACATCCCCATACCATCCATTACTTCCCGATTTATCTTATTTATCCAATATTTGTGATATTTGTGATATTTATTCTCAAACCTATTTTCTTCAAACCAGTATCATTTTTTTCTATAGAGTTAAAAAAAAAAAACAAAACAAAAAAAAAAATAAATAAATATTTCAACTTTTCAAGAAAATAATAACCACCTTTACAAAATTCCAAAATTTTATAATTCAAAAAGAAAAAATTATTCATACATAATACTTTCGTCTTTTCCAACTAAAACCATATAACACGCACAGCAATGAACTCTCCGGTAATGGAATTACCAGAAAAAATTTCTCCTCGTCACCAGTCCATTCCTTTATTCACCACAACTTCCTTCGCTGGAACCTTAGACACCGAAGCAATCGGCAGTCGGGAATTTATTTCAAATCCAAAACGTTTCACAATGCCGGCTCCTGGTTCTCCTAGAAAACGTGGTTATCAAAAGCCTACGAAACCTAGGGAATTTGCTAAAAGTGCAAAGAAAAGACAGAGCGTACTTGCTTTAGGTTCCATAACCCACTTACAACACTTTTACGCTAAACGTGGTATAATCATAAAACCAAAGAAACCAAAGCACGTGTAAGCATTTCATGCGGAATTTTCATTTTCACGTGTATAGAAATTATCCTTTTCGTTAATTTTATTAATTTTAATTTATTTATTTATTTTTTTTTTTTAGAGAGGAAGCAGAAAAGAAAAAAATGGCCCTTAGTATAAATACGAATGTTTCAGATTTACTCAAGGTTACAGAGGAACCCGAAGAAGACCTCCCCCCAACTCCACTTCCACCATCACCGCCCCCGCTTCCAGCTTACATCACTTCTAAATTAGATGTGGAAACAGATCCTGAAGTGTTACTTGCAACATGTCATGGTAATATTCAAGCAATGATAGATGCTTGGTGTATGGTGACCGGTGAAGTTAAAGCCGAAGAAAATCCAGTGCCTGTTGATATATTAGCGGCCATAGAGACCACCACGAGGGCTGTTCAATCGGTAAAAAATTATTCCCTGTTTAAAGAAGATTTATCAACGGAATCAATGTCAAAAATTCGTGCCGCTGCCTTGGAAGTATTGGAGATGATTAGCGATTTGGAGCAATCACACAGAGACGATGACGACAGTAGCAGTGAAGATGGTCATATATACAAAGAATCAAATTTTCATTGTTTAGATAGACAACGTGATATATTAAGAAGATATTTGATGGTGGTTGAGGAATGTCTATTATTTGATGATTGTGATATGTATCCTCCAAATACATCTTATTTAAAAAATTCATCAGTTAGTTCAGAAGATGAATCGAAACAAGGAACTGCCCCTTTTACTCCTCCATTATCACCCGGTCATCCAAATAATGATTGGGTGAATCCTGATGTATATGGTGGTAATGTTTTTGCGAGATATCATGCTTTCTTGGAAGCTCATCGACCGTCAAAATCTAAACGATATCCTGATTACACACCCCTTCCCAATCCTTGTCTCGACAAAACCGAATTCTTGGCTTCGTTGGCGTGAGTATCCTTTATACCCAGTTTTACGATGCACTATGACTTTATCTAATTTAAAAATAATTTTTTTTTTTTAAAAAAAAAAAAAAAAAACAGTGACGGTAAATTATTATGTGAGATATATAATACGATAGTAAAACGATCGAAACGACCATTTGGATTCATTGATAAAATTCATGAGGATACATCAAGAACTTATCGTGCTACGGAAAATTTAAAATTCTTTGCTGCGTAAATATCTTTTCAACCCATTTCAAAATGTTTTCTTTCGGTATAATGATAATTATTAAATTGAGAAATAAATTTTTTTAATTTAAATAGTGCCGCCAAGTTTAGATTTGAGCTTAAATTTGATGAATTTAATGTAACAGAGATTGTCAAATTAACGAACGTTGGCAAAACTCAAGTAAGTCTTAACTTTTTCTTTAATAATTATATTTCCATTTCATTGTTACTTTTACTTACTTTTTTTCGCTGGTTCGTCGGATATAGCTTGAACGAATTCTTGAAGTATTTTGCGAAAAAGCCATGCAAGAGCTTATATCAACAGGATCTTATAAACAATATCCATCATCGAGAGTATCCAGCATGTATATGCACGAATCTCTTTCAAATTCACAAATGCAATTACTTCAGCAAGCAACGACAAAGTCAGCGAATGATTTAGCTGCAGCTGTGTCTGCTAAGTTGTCGATTCGTCCACACGGTTACGCGTCATCAACAAGTACACCATCTCCAACATTATCAAGGAATAATAGTGATGATGAAATTTAATAATTGAATTGTTCAAGATAGAATAAAAAGAGATAATTTGAATAAAATGGACATTGATTATGCCAAAAAAAAAAAAAAAAAAAAAAAACAATAGAAAATAAAATGATTGGTAAAAAATTCTATTACTTTTTAGTGTTTTGTGTGGTTTTTTTTTTTAATTTTAATTCCTTATATACATACATATTATTATCACTTATGATTATTTCTCGCTGGACGGATTTAAAATGGATATTACATTTATATTTTTTATTATTTATGAATTATATTATATTTTTATTTTTTATTCCGATAACATATATTACCTATTTAGTATTTTATTAATAATTTTCAAATTTACAAAATTTAATGGACGTCTTCTTTTGTATAGCTTTTTTTTATATTATATTATCAACATATATAATTAAAACGAAAAAAAAAAAAAAAAAAAAAAAACTCTTTGAAATTAATGATTTTTAGGAATAAAAGAAAAAAAAGAGAGTAGTTGCATAGATCAGACAGATTAGACCGGAGTGATGGGGTTTTAATTTATTTACCTTTGTTAATGTGTATTTTTATTTTATTATTTTATTTGAAACCAAAACTTTATTATTATTCAGATATCATTAAAAAAAATCCTTTAATCTGCAGTGAAATCTTGTAAAATCCCGTAAATCCTTGGTAAACAAATATGGTAAAATGAATATTTCCATTTTGTAATACAAATAAATTACAATAATATTTGAGAAACAACAAATAAATTGGTTTGGCAATTAATCTAGAAAGTTTCTTAAAACGAATTGATAAGCTACTTTAATTGGTTTACTTTCACTTCCATTTTCAAGTGCAACCATACTTGACAAATTATTCCATAAATGCACTCGCACTTTTAATCCTTTTAAACAATTATTCATCTCGAAAAGATAGTTTATTACATCATCATCAACATTCATTATTTTCATTCTCTTTTTTTAGAGATCGAAAATCAAATTCAGAGTATAAACAAATAATCATTTATTGATATAAAAGGTTAATCATATATTAATATGTGCGTATATATGAAGAAAGGTTGATACTAAAATGGATCATTGTAAAGTTTCATGTGAAATCGAATTACAGGGAATTTTTTTTGAGAAAAAAAAAATCTCTATATTAACCTAATTTTGGTAAAACCAACAATCCGAAATTTTTTTTTTTTTTTTCGATAAACGCGTATTCATCATAGAGCAAGAAAGGATCTTTTTTTTTTTTTTTATTTTTCGTGTCCGTTCCCAACCTAGCAAAGTAATAATCTCCAATCTATAATGCAAGTCTGTAAAATAGGAAGGATGAAAGTATGATATTAACAATACGTAATAATGCAAAAAATTAAACTGATCCAGGATGTTGTGACATTTACTAGATATGGTAGTATAGTGTAAAACCTTTAATAAAAAATAAATTTTTTTATATGTTAACTTTCCACATCACATTGCATTACATAATTCATTCAACATCCTCATCTCTAAAGAATTCTTGATAACATAATACAAGTCTATTTCGTAAAAAAAGAAAAAAGAAAAAAAAAAAAAAAAGGCCATAAATAGAGCCCTTATGTAGGGAAGGCGTTGCTGGTATCGATTCGACTTACTTCCATAACGTAATTTCACCAATCTTTTCCTCCTTTGAACGAATTTGAATCAAATAAATCGTTTTTTATCAAAAAAATTTTTTTTAAAAAAAAAATAAATATATTTATTCTGTTAAGAAATTAATTTAATTGAAAGAGTTATTTAAAGATTTAATTTGTACTCTAAATTTATCGATCGTATGCCAGCACGACGTAAAGCAGCGGAATCAGCTACAACGCCACGAAAGACAAAGGATAGTGCTGGTGGTAGCGTTGATAGTTCACAAAAGTACACGGTATACGTGAAAGAACGTTCGAGCGTGACAAGTTTATTACCACCGGACGTAAATCCTTTTTCAAGGGAAGAAGCAATATATTGGCAATTATCCTTTCCTAGTCAGAATGATCCTGATATCGGAATTGCTCCTCCTCCTCCTCCTCCATCCGGAACCCGAGAGATCGATACCGGAGGAGTCATCAATCAAGGAGGCAATCCAAGATATGTAATTAGATCATTGGAATTTGCAAACACAGGTCTTAATTCTGTATGGTCGAAAGCCACCAGCAATAAATTATTAAAATATTTAATATTCTTCACCATACTATTACCATTTTTATTAATATTATCAAATTCAAAAGCTCTAGATGAGAATCAAAGTTTCATGGAAAATTTTCCAGAACATTTACGTTCAGTCAAACTTTTGTTTTCGCAATTGGATAGTACGACATATAAAATTCAACCAATTGGAGAGAATGACGATTTGAGCAACGAAAACAACAACAACAATAATAATAATAATCGTAATGGTGACGTTAATAATAGCATAACATTTACGCTAGAAGACTTGAGAAAGATCATTGTGGCAGAAGTAAGGAATCATATGAAATCCGAATATGACAAAGTTTTACCATCAATGCCGATTGAACCAAATACCGAACACATTCGTAACTTGGTAAGCCATGAAGTTAAACAAATCACCAACGAAGTTAAAAACGAAGTGAAAAGGGAAATATCTATTCGTACGGGTTCGAGACCGAGAGGATTTAGAGGGGTGGAAATGATTGAGATAATCCGTCAAGAAGCGCGGAAGGTGGTCCTAGAGGAATTATTGGTATTCTCTCAAGACAAGATAAACAAACCAGATTTCGCATTACATTCGAGTGGTGCCAATGTGATAAGTAGGTTCACAAGTAAAACTTATGAATTATGGCCTGATAAATGGTATAAAAAGACAGCCGCGTACCTATTCGGACAGGGTATCTTACGTGGTAAACCACCTGTGACGGCAATTTCTCCTGATACTCATGTTGGGCAATGCTGGCCATTCTCAGGATCCGAAGGTCAATTGGCGATCTTACTTAACAGGAGAGTTTACGTTACCGCGGTTACTTATGATCATGTTAGCAGAAATGTATCGATTGATGTAAATTCGGCTCCAAAGGAATTTGAAGTATGGGGGATAATCGATGATGGAAAGGATCGCAAAGAAAGTGAAACAGAAGAGAATGGGGATTTAGATGTCGAACCATTTGAAGAGAGTTACATGGAATCAATCGAAGAAGAATGTGGTATAAGACAGGAAGGTGAATATGAACCCGATAGGAATTTTCACTTTCAAGTTAATGGTAATTCAAATGATGGCTTGGGCGATTTGGATCTTATGGATAACATAACTAGCGAGGAATTACATTTAGGCAATTCTCCCCTACATTTATTCTTGGGCAGATATGTTTATAATATTAGTTCTGTACCCGTACAAACTTTTGAAGTGCCACAAGAGATTTTGGAATCGAATAAACCGGTTCGAGCGGTTATCATGAAAGTTAATAGTAATTGGGGTAAACCTGGTTATACTTGCCTATATCGTTTCCGTGTACATGGCAATCCTGTCGATATGTCGGATAATTAATTTTATTAATTTTATTAATTATTATTATTATTATTTTTTTTTTTTTTTGTATAAAAGTATATATACATATTACCTTATTATTATTATTAATGACGATAAATAAATAATAAAAAAAAATGCATACACATATATTCATATCATATATTTATTTTCCCACATATCAATATGCCCACGCAGGCTTTTTCGTACATACATGAATCCCCACACAAATCATCTAAAGTTTATGCAAGTTGCACCGTTTTTTATTACTTGTTTATTGCATGTTTATTGCATCATATTATCTATCTATTTATAATCATATTAGACTCATTATATTAATTTATATCAAGTCGTATTATCTACAATCATTTTATTTACATATTATATTATTAAATTCTATATAATACACATAAATAAGTTCTATAATACAAAAAAATAATCTATAACAATAAACCATAAACTAATTATTAATAATTAAATTAACCATAATAAGTATAAAAACCTCATGAATACTATTACAAAATAGTGATGTTATATTTTACTTTTGGAATCGGATTCTATCCTTTCTTGTCTTTCTATCGTACTTTTATTACTGATGTCAATGTTTCCATCATTTCCATTCTTCTCTTCTTCTTCCCATAACCCTAACCCATCAACATTTTGATAGAGACATGCATTAACTATACCTATTGGTATATCATGTAATTCTGGAACAAAATCATCGGTTATACCAGATAATTGTGATAAATTCTGTCCTATGTTTGCATGATCGTCTAATGATTTCATAAATGAATTGATCAAATGTTTATTGATTTCATGGAATTTTGCTGGAACGTATCTTACCTGTTATGGTATGATAAGAATCATATGGCGCCGTGTTTAAAAAATTGATTGATAATATTACTACATATAAAAAAAATGACAGCACAAATGACCAGACTGGTAATGCAAGTGCCCAATACCTGGAAATATCATAATGAATTAAATATATATATATATTTTAAAAAAAAAGAAGGTTAAAACGTACCTATCCGGAAAATAAGTTATTCCTAATGATATTAATATCTCATCCGGTAAATATGCCCATAACAAATATATCACTAATAATTTCAATTTCGATCATTCAATTTATGATCATAAAGAAAAAGAATCTTTGCAAGTAATTTTTTTTTTGTGTGTGAAGATATAAATTACCGAATGCGATGAATGAAGATAAATATAGAACGAATCCGTAATATTCGTACGTCGGTGTTTTAGTTAATGTTGTTGGAGACTCGTCCGTTTGATATATATTCGTCATGCTAAAATAAAAATGTTTCTCGAATTAGAACGAAATGGTTCCCTTTTGGAGTTAAGAGAAAAAAAAAAAAAACTTGTCCTTGGTAACTTACCCAGAAGAATAATTCCTTAATCGATCATTGTGTATTGTTGATGTTGAAACTTCATCTTGTTTCACGGGATAGTTGCTATTCGACGTAGTCCTCTTGAGTCTTCAAAATTAATTAAAATAAGTAAACATCCTACCAAAAGTCAACTCTCAAAGTATCAGTAAACGAAATCAAGTTTGAATTGAAGTTTTTTTTTTACCCGAGGGGTCTTGGCGTTCTAGTAGAGATTGGTTTTGATTGGTGTGTTGTCGATGTTGACGAAGACTGACCTTGACTGTGTTCGTTATTTCTTCCGTATTTAAAATAATTATCAGCTGTTCCTGAACTAAACAAGCCATTATTAAAGTTCATAGATCGTGACTTCCCTATTGGCAAAATCTTTATTATAAGAAAATCGCGTTTTTCGTTTTCCTAAAAATTTTGGTTTTTTTGATGGAAAATTGTAATTGGTTGGAAAATTTTTTACATAAACATCTAATGTTGTGATTTTTTTAACAATCATTTTTATATAAATAGGTTAATCTTTTTTATATATAGTATATATATATATAATATATTGTAAAAAATTATAAAAAGTAAAAGTTCTTAAATTTATTATTTTAAAGAAAATATTATATTAATTAAATTTTTTATAATTTTTTAAATTTAAAAAATTTATAAATCTTTATATTTTGCAGTAAAAAGAAAAGAAACTACCAAAAAAAAATTTTTTTACTTTATAAACTAAATATTATCAAGATTTATTTATCAAAATATAGATTAATATTTCATTTAATTTTTATTTACTATAAAAATAGTAAATAAAATATAGTATAATTTAAAATTAGTAATAATTAACAAGTATTACATTTTATTTTTTCTTAATCTATAATTTAAATTATATAATACTTAATTATCAATATTAATAAATTTTAATATTAATATATAATTAAAATTTTTTAATTAGATTAATATCAAAGTTAAAAAACAACTAGATAGTTAAGAATAAGTAAAAAAAATAAATAAATAAATAAAACAAACAATATTTTCAACTATTTGCTTACATCTGTAATATAAATAGATTTATTATTTTCTTTTAGAATTTTTTGTATTAAAATTTCATGTTATATAGTTTTAATAACACAATTAATTAAAATTAAAATTTAAACTAATCTAAGAAAAATACAAGATTAAAGTTTTTTTTTTAAATAATAGTTATAATATAGTCTTTATAAACTCTTTAAAAGATTTATATTTTATATAACAAAACTTAAAGTATTACATTATATGTAATAATAAACTTATCAAATTAGATTATCTTTAAAATTATTATTATTCAATTTTATAAATATGAGTAATTATATTAATTTTAATATTATTCAAAGATTTTATAATTTATAGTATAAATATTTATAATTTATAGTATAAATATTTATAATTATTAGAAATCTATTTTTAACTTTATTATTTTTATTATTAATTTATAAAATTAAATTAAATTTTTTATTTTTTATTTCTTTACATATATTTTTAGATACTAAATATAAAAGGTAGTTATTATTAAATTTATTAATTTTTCTTAAAAAATATTTTATTTAATAGTATTAAATGAAAATAACTTTTAACTTAATAATTATATTTAATAAAATTATTACATTAAATTTATTTAATGAAAGCTTTCTAATAAATAAAAGTATGATCTTTTAAGACTAATTATTAATAAGATGTTTTTTAAATAGATAATTAATAAATAATTTTATAGATATTATCAAAATAATTATAATTTCTTAATTGCAATCCAATAATCAAATAGCTAAAATTATAAAAATGATGAAAATTATTATAATATAATTAATAAAGTTATATATATTAATATAGTTAAATTAGTTTATTAGTTTAATATATTAATAAAATTTATAATAATTTTAAGTGTACTTTATCTTTAATTAGTAAAAGAGATTAATAATTTTATATAATAGAATAAAAATTTCTCTTAGAATTGTATATAAATGAATAAGTTAAATAAATTAAATATTAAATAGTTTAGTTTTAATATAAATTATTTATATAATATAGAGTACTAATTAAAATAATACTTATTTATTATTCTTATTTAAAATAAACTATTTAATATTAATATATCTCTTAAATTAATTATAAATTAATCTTCTATTTATCTTTATATTTATTTAAATATTTATAATAAATAAGCATATTAAAGAATTGACTATTCATTAAAGTATAGGTATAAAATTAGTTATAAAATATTGAAGAAAAATTATTAGTCTGAAATGAAGTAAAGGACTATATAATACTATGTAAAGTGATATAAGATATTCTAATATCCATTTGCTTAATAATTGAGTCAATACTGATTAATTTTATAATTATACAAAAATCTAGATAATTAAATATCAGTGTAAACTTTATTTAGTTAAAATTATTTCAGATTTAACAACAATTACTATTTTTTAGTAATATTTTAATATCTAATAATCATAAAAAGATGAAATAAAGTTTATTAGATTTATTATATTAAGATATATTTAATGATAGTATTTTTAAATTTTTAAAATTAGTAATTATTAATATATATCAATTTTCAATTTTTTAAAATAATTTATTATTTAATAATTACAAAAAAAAAATAAAATTTAATAATTAGATTATTTTATTAATATTTATTAAACATATTTTTAAGATCAATAAATAGTAAAATATATAAGTTTAAATATTTAATTTTTTTCATAATAATTTATTATATAATTATCTTTAAAGATTATTAATTAATTACTTTTTTTTTAAAAAATTTACTTAAAAAATATCATAAATTTTATTATAAAAATATTAATTTTTAAATAAGTTATTATAAATATATTTAAAATTATTATAAATAATTTTAATCATTAAATAAGATTTCAGATAATTTTTATTGCAATATACTTAAAAAAATAATAATAAAATGATTATTTAAATTTTTTACTTATTTATATACTGATATAATTTAATAAAAATATTTTAACAATAATTGATTTGTATTATAAAATATTTTATTATTAATATTATATACTGTATATTTTAAAAATTAAAAATATAAAATTATTTTTTATGAGAATATTAAAATAAAAAAATATAAATGTAATCATTTTATTTTATTTTTTTTTTTGATAGATTTTATTAAATTATATAAAAATATTATTAGTAAACTCAAGTTATAAAAATAGTAAATTATATAATTTATAATAAGATTTTATAGTTAATATTAATATATAATTAATTATTAATAATATTAATAATATATTTATTTTGATAACTATTATATATAAATAGTAATTTAAAATATTTAATATAGTAATAATTATTATATATAATAATAAATATGATTATATATATTGTAAATTGTATAAATAAATATAAAAAGTAAAAAGTAATATTTATATATATTATTATACAAGTGAAAACATTAATGATAATGATCCAAAAATGATAATAATCACTAGAAAATTATTTATATCTTATATCTTTTATGTTATCTATACCATTTATTTTTCCTATTTAATATATTATTTTTATTTATTTTATCTTATTTATACTATTTATCTATTATATTATATTTATTTCATTTATTATATTTATTTTATTTATTATTTTAATAATTTTATATGTTTAATTTTATATAAATACAAGAAGAATTTTTTTAGCTTAACAGTATATCTAATTCATATTTTTTTAGATAGTTTATTCTAATTCTTTTGAAAATATTTTTATAGTATAAAATATTGATTGGGGTAGTATTCATTTATTTATAATTATTAAATTAATTATTTGCTGATTAACACTCTTTTAAATCAACTATAAAATTAATCTTTTATTTACCATTTGAAATATTTATATTGCTTATCACTTATAAGTATTTTAAAGAACTGACTATAATAATATTTTTAACTTTTTAATTTAGTAAAACTAATTATTTAACTTTTTTAGTTTAGTAATAATAATTATTTTACTAATAATTATAATTAAAATTAGATAAAATAATTAAATATTTTATTAAAAATTGATTTTTAACAATAAAACAATTTTATTTTTTTTACTTTTTGTATTTTTTAGAAATTTTTAAATAAATATTATAAAGATAGAATAGTAATAATTATAAATTAATTATTTTTTTATATTATGATTTTATTAAGTAGAAATTTTAATATAAATTACTTATATAAAATTGATTTTATTAATTAAATATTAAAATTATTATATAAAAAATTATTTATAATATAATTATAATATTATATTACTTAAATTTATTATTTTAATAAAAAAAAATTATTTAATACTTTTATAAGCTAACTTATTATTTTAATATAATTTAATAAATAATAAAAATTAATAATAAGAATATAAATTTTATTATGTGAATAATAATTATTATTAATTAAAAATTATGTTATATTAAATAAAAGATTTGATATTTAAAAAAATAATATATAATTAATAAGTCAATATATAAACATTAGGCATTTTTAAATATAAATTTTTATAATTTAAATTTAGTTAATTATTTTTTAAAATATATTTATAAATATTTACTGGTTTTTTTTTTAATATTAATATAAAATTTTTAATTTTATAATAATTTCGTCTAATATCATGATTTTTAAATAGGTTTGAGGTACCAAATTGAGTTGATGTTACACGTGTTACGCTCCTATTAATTTTTAGTGATGTCAAATGTAACAAATCCCAAATCGGTCATTTGAAGTGTTTTAATTTAACGCTAACCTAATCATACATTACTTTCCTTACAAACTTTATTTTTTTTTATTTTATATACTCGCGCGAAAAAATGTCAAATACGTCCTCAAATGGTAACAACATTCCTTTTGGAGAATCCGAAAATCCTCAAACTTTCAATGAGTTTGAAGATCCTCAATCTCAGCTCTTAACCGATGGAAAACAAAATGCCAAGGCCATTTACTGTGCTTGTCAAAGCTTGATTTTACGCGCCAATCTAGGAACATGGGTCGAAAGACCAAAAGATAAGGTATAGATATCTAATTTTCTTTTTTTTTTTTAAAACAAAGATTTCAGTATATTGTCCGAGTTATTTAAGTGTTTAAGGAATTTTTGCTTTTTTTTCTCCAACTTCTTTTATGGCAGTTAAAATTACCCGAAGGGCAAATCTTAAAAAAATCTTATCCCGAAACACCATCATTAGATGAAGAAGCTTCTAATCAAGGATTTTGGGCTTTATATGATATCATGGCATTTGAAAACATTGGAGTATCAAAAACCATAGATACCGGAATAAAATATTTATGTTGTGCTGTTTGTGATGTAGGTCCATTAGGTTATAATGATACTAAATCAACGACAAATGAGTTTTTGATTGCAGTAGATCGAGTTAGCTATTCCCGAACATAATTTATCAAGTTAATATTTAAATCATCTCTTTAATATATATTTTTTATTTACAATTTACAATTTATTTTATTTCTTCCTTTGGGCCATAAATAATAATAATTTACATCCTTTTGTTATCATTATAGAAAATTTTTTTATAACTTAAATTCTTTAAACTTATATGACAGAATAATGGGGAAATGGTTTATTATGATGATTGTTCTTTTACCATCCAATTTATTTTAACACGAATTACTAATAAATCCCTATTGATAAAGATCAAAGTTTTTTTTTCAAAAAAAAAAATTTGTCGCTAATTAACTGCATTTAACCTTTGGAAAAAACCCTATGAACTAGCTTTACAAATAGGCCTTTATACTTCCCCATTATTTAGATTGTAGATTAACTACACCTAGGTTTGATATTTTATTTCTCTCGAGTATATGTTTCTTTTAAAACAATCGGATCAAATGAGAATGGACTAAATAAAATATCTTTAAAAAGGTTATTAATGGTTCGACCGAGAATTCATGCCAGACACTAGCAGAAATGAATCAAGTGGTACAACATACTTACAATATTAAAAGATTTTGGCAAAGAAGTTAGAAAAAAAATCCAATCATTCATTAGAAATTAACACCTTGAAAGGAACGAATTAAAATATGAAGAACGTATATTTGATACATTCAAAACATTGTACCCTTTATAATGCATACACCATATATACCTTCCTTGAAAACACACGGCTGTCCCAGCCTATAAATGAAATGCACTCCTTTTCGGTGGGATAAAAAAATATTTTTTTATTTTATAGATAATTAAGTCATGTGACAAAGTCTCGTGATAAAATTCATGGAGAAACTTGGAAGCTCTTTGAACTTCATATATGTGATTAATCAAATGTCTGCGCTTTAAAATGAAAAGAAATTTTATAACAAGGAAGAAAATCCTATTGAAGCAAAACATTTTGAAACCAAGGTTTCTTGAAGAGAAGAAATATTATCCGCTTTTTATGACAAGCATTAATATTTTACTTATTTTACTGGAATTCTAAATTTATATTACACTAAATATAATGCATGAAAATGCATTTTTTATAATCGTTTATTTTTTTTATTTATAAAAGGTTTCTACATAACAAAAAAGTTAACGTGCTCATAATTGTTAAGGCACGTGATTTCAAAGGTAATCTGCTGATCTACGAACTTCTAGTATTTACCTTTCCTTTTTGAGACAAGCGATTCCTTTCCCAATGTTTGTTTGTTTGACAAAATAACACTATCTCTTCATTTCTTCTATTTACTATTATTTTTGCTATTTTAGATCGCGATTATAACTTACTTTTAAAGACTATTTAGGTTTGATTGTTTTGCGCATTTTACTTTCAAATTATTTTGTAGTACTGTTTATTTATTTAACTAAAACTTACCAAAGCCTGTTTTAAAATAGCATCTCGTTTTTCTCGAATAATCGAACAACTTGTACATCTTTCAATCAGTTTTGTTTAAAAAAAAAAAATAAAATGGGTTCAACTAAGAATAATAGTAGAAATAGTTCGGGTGAGTCGCATAAAAGGTTGGAAAACAAGATTAATGATGGTCGAATAAAAAAAAAATCAGGATGCGAAACATACGGAGGATCCATGTTGAGACAATCTCATAAGAAAGAAAGAAGATGGGTTAGACTCAGAAAAATAACAAATGAAAAATATACCGTTTCAGAAGATTTGTTAGATCAATATGAGAATTTATATGGGAAGCCTGATCAATTATATCTTCAAAATTTTGAAAGTTTTCCTACGCCGGGGAGTTCCAGAATAAGTAGTATTGAACAATCATATCCTGAGTCTACACCAAATGATAAGGATGTAAAGTATAGTATACCTTCAAGCTCCTTCGCTCCAAAACCGAAGAGACCCTTTTCAACAGCATACTTTCCAATATATTCAAATTCAGCTATTCCTTCATCTCCAGCTTTTTTAAAAAAGCCAAGTCCACCTCCTCCACCGTTGTTCAAGACCACAAAAGAGGTATTCTGCTATACATATTATAATACGAAGTCACATGAACAAAAAAATTCATTCGAACCTCTTGACCCTCACATATACAATGAATCAAATTCGTGGATAATAAATAAATCCAAGGTAGACGTACCAGCGCTCGTACGGGAAAGTCAAGTATTAGAACTACAACAAACATCATGTTGGTTTTATCACAATTTTAAAACGGGGGATAATAAAAGATCGTTTGAACAACTTGCAAAAACTGAAGACGAATATGAATGGTGTGAACCTATTGAGATAAAGCAATTTGTACCCTTTCCGAATGAATTTTCGTTAGATACTGAATTTAAAAAGATTGAAGATACTATACTAAAGACACCTGAAGAAAATGAAAAGGTAGTAGAGAAGAAGGAGCCAGAGTTTGCAACCGAAGAAGAGATTCAAGAAGAACAGATGTGCCTTGAGGAGGTTGAAGAGAAGGGTGCACAAGATGCGATTAAGTATATCAAGGAGAAGAATAGGAAAGAGGATAATCTGATAGCTTATATATGTCGTGAACTATCACTGAAATCACCACGAAATTTTGATAAGTTTTCAACTAATAAAAGAAAATCCGCCAAGAAACGTTTACAGGATTGGGTTCAATATGATGCGTACCCATCATTGACATTAGAACAAGCCGAGAAACTTGTTGTCATGTTGAATACGGGCAGTAAAGTTCTCGTGAATGGAGATAAAGTTTCAGTGTGCGGTAATGATCTTGTCACTCTGAAAAAACGAGGTTGGTTAAATGATGAAGTGATAAATTTTTACGTCGAGCTGATCGTCAAACGTGCTGCTAACGAACCGGGAAAATATCCCAAAGTACACATGTTTAATACTTTCTTCTATCCATTGTTGGAGAAAAAAGGGTATTCAGGTGTAGCAAAGATCACAAAAAGAGCTAAGGTTGATATATTTTCTCTTGACATGGTACTTGTTCCTATTCATTTGCAAATTCATTGGGCTTTGGCGGTCATCAACTTCAAAGAACGTCGATTAGAATATTATGATTCCATGAGTAAAGGATGCAATGAACATATATTGTCATCATTGAAAAGGTACGTTGAGGAAGAGTACAAAGACAAAAAGAAGGCGTCATGCTACGACATGAGCGACTGGAGCTACTATAGAGCGAATAATTTACCACAGCAAAATAATGCATATGATTGTGGCGTGTTCGCGATGACCTTTGCCGAACACATCAGCAGAGGCGCATCAGTGCTCTTTGTCCCACCCAAACACATGAAATATTTTCGGTTGAAGATGATGTGGGAGATAGTCAATTCAAAATTGTTGCCTGTTGATCAGCAGCAACATTTCGTGAATAATCAACATAATGGGTTTTCAGAACCAGTAATGATGAACAACTGGAGCATTAATGTCAATTCTTCATGTCCAAAAAGAAAATTTGAGGATATCAGCGCATTTATTAAAACATAAATATCTATTCAATATATGGGATGATTTCATTTATATATATATATATTTTTTGGATTTTTTTTTGTGAATTAATGTTAAATGTATTAATATAGGATACGTCGTTGTTTGTTTTTTTTTCAACAAAATGAAAATCAGAAAATCAATATTTATAGTCTTCTTTATTTGATTTAGAAAAAAATTTTGTTTTGCGTATTAGCTTTTAAATAAAAAAAAATTATTTGTCTTGCAAAGATAATATTATCTTTTTAATCTATTGAATTTCTCAAATAAACCAATTCATAAAAGAAAGCCAACAATCAATTAATCATAATATAGAATAGATTAATCATTATCATCATCATCATCATCATCATCATCCAAGTCATAGTTGACTAATATCACATTGAAAATTCAAAAGTTAGAAATTTAAATGTACATATAGAAAGAAATTCAATCTCAAATAAATGAAAATTTTACCATCATCTGATAAATTCATTCCGATCTGGCCGGAATCTATTCAAAAGTAAGAACAATTTTTGAAACTTATATAATCATGAATTTCAAATAAATTCCTTTGTTAATTTATACATACCAGTATATGCAGAAATCAGAGAACTATTTACGGGTTCGGGTAAATTATCCAAAACCAAACGCTTAGATGCCTGATTAGTGTCTTTGGGCAATATTGAAATCTCTTTATCAGCTTTTTCAAAAGCTGCCTTGATATTTTCAGCATCAACATTAACATTTTTCTTATTTATCTCTAAACAATTTTTCCAATATGACAAGATATCCTCTAAATCACTTGTAGTTGGTCTCTTATCAGGATTAGCATCCATACATTTATAAGCCCAAATTTTATAGATTTCAGGAGTACCTTTACCAAATTCAGGTCTTAATCCGTGACAAATAGACATGGCAAGTTCAGAATCTCTTTCAGTGTGATTATAATAAGGAGACAAACCAGATGATAATTCTGTCATAATAATGCCAAAACTATAAATATCAGCAGAGGTGGTGTATGGTCTTCTCTTTAATACTTCAGGAGCCACATAACCTAATATACCATAAACATCATTTGATGATTTATTTGTTGGTCCAGCTAGTCCAAAATCTGTTATATGATAACGGGCTATCCCTTGTAATATATTTCCACTATGGAAATCTTTATGGCATATTCCTTTATCGTGTAAACCTTTTAGTTCCGTTATAATATCTGATAAAATATGAATTTTTGCTTTCCAATCTAATTCGGTAAAGTGATTCGTTAATTGGGACTTTAAACTCCCGTTTACCGCTAAACCAGTTACCATCATAAGTTCTGAACTATTTGGATCTTTTGTTATTCCATAAAATGATAATGATGATGATCTAACTTTTAATGTTAATGTTAATTGATAATAAACTTCCATCTATAAAATCAAAAAAAAAAAAGCTTAAAAAAATCAATTCAAAGATCATAAGAATAATTTTTGATGTAATCACCTCTTTTAAATATTCATTAGAAATTTCATTTGATCCATTAATACTTTTAAGAGCAACAGTATTTGGTAAAGTTCTAATTTTTTTGGTATTATTCGTTGTATCCGTAAATATAAATTTTTCCCCGCCATCCAACCAAGTTGCTGAATATACTTTAGCAAATCCTCCTTCACCAATTTTTTTTAAATTTTGAAATCGGTCGAAATCTATCCATTTTAAACGTTTATCATATTTATTTGAATTTTTTTGTGTTTCTTTTATGAATTCTTCGATGGATCTGGTTTCATTTTCCATTGAAATATGAATTAAGATCAATGAATTTCGAAGGTCAATAATTTATACAAAATGAAATCAATCAGTGAAACCAAGAGGTTAATCGTAATTGGCCGCGACCGCCATCTTACAATTTCCAAAAAAAAAAAAAAATCTTATAATTCAATTCAAATTGCTTAATTTTAAGACATAAGAGATGGGAACGCGATGAGATTTTTGTTCACATGGTTTGTAGGATGATAAATTGAATTTTAACTATGAATAAATTCTTTAAATAGGA